GTGTTTTGTGTACTCACAACTGTAAACCCACTTTTGCCCACCCTGTGAGCACATACATGTATATACATATGTGAATGCATGTATGTATATATGAAGGAAATACATGAAAATACAATAAATAGTAGTTATTTCTGCATGGTGGCTTTTTCCAAATTCTCTCTGATAATAAAATTACTTTTAGTAACAGAAAAACCCCAATAGATATTTTTAAATGATAGGAATGTGGTTGCTGAGGTCCGCCCTATGTGTGAAACAAGGACAAGGGACACGCAGGTGCCTCGTAGGGCTCAGGCTGACCAACCGTCAGTATCTCAAGATGAGACAAAGTGACCAGAGGGTGAATTGGGGCCAAAGTACAGGCCGGGCCAAGGTTGTGAGCAGAGGAAACTGCTAACTTTGTCTGTGAAGGTCAGGGGCCTAGGTCAATGGAAGGAATGAGAAGGAACATTTGGTTGGTGGAGGGTTGAGGGTGATAAGGAGATGAAGAAAAGCTTGAACAATACTTTCAAGTTCATGAAGAGATTTCATGAAGACATTTACAGTGGGAGAGAGCGAAAGCAAACCTGTTTGAAGTTTGGGTTGAATGCCCTGTGGTCCCAGAGGGTGGGCTTTCCAGGGTGAGTCAGTGTCAGACACTGGACCCAGGTTAGAAGGACACATGGAACTTTTGTTAAGGACATGGGTGAGCCCTGCATGGGCAGCAAGTTTGCAAATAGTTGCATCATTAGGTCAAGACCCATGTCTCCCCCTCCTCCCACATCCCCCTCATCTCTCCCAGTCTAAGAGCAGAAGGAATGTTCTCTGGTAAGAATTCTTGATAAAGAGGCCGTTTCTAACCTTTCTGAACTTGAAAGAAAGCAATTATGTATGAAACAAGTATCTTCAAGGACATTTCTCCCACTCTGCCTGGTTTCATTTTTCTCTCCGCGGGTCCCTGAGCAGAGGCAGAAATGGAAAGAGGAAAAACAGGAGGTTGACTCTGGTGGTGTGCTGGAGGCAGGAACACCCCGGCAGAGCACAGCTCTGCTCCTCCTAGAGGCCTCCCCCCTCCACAGACTTCAGCCTGAGGAGCCTGGGGTCAGCAGGAGCAGCAAGCGCCCACGTCCAGAAACCAAAAGATAGCCCTTCAGGCAGAGTAGAAAGCATGAAAGAACAAATCAGGTCACAAGATCAATCCTTGAAAAACAGCTTAACTGAAAATACATTTCATGGGGTTTTTTTTAATATCTTTTACCTATGCACAATTCAGTATTTTTACTATTCTGCACCTCAGCTTTCATTCTGATGGCTATATCCTGAAAATTTCCAGTCTGAGCTCTAGTTTGAAATCCGAGGTGGAGGCACACAAACAGCACACAGGCCCCCGCCAAGGACTCTGCCCTGCCACCCATCTAATGGGAGAGACACAGTCTTTTCCATAAGAAGTCCCTGCTGTAACTGGGCACGCCACGTAAAGTGCAGAGGCTGCCTGCAAGGAAATTACCAATGGCATAAATCATCGGCGATAACAACTGCCTTCTGCCTTTCTTCCTAACTCCTAATACGAGCCTGGCATTTCATATACAGTCTCTCATTTGATCCTCTCAACAGTTCATCAAGGTAAGTATCATTATCCTCATTTTGCAGAAAATGTCACTCGGAGAGGTTGAATAACTTGCCCAGGGTCACGCAACCAGAAAGTGGCAAAGCTGAAACTTGAGCCCAGGTCTTTCCTCGGTGCCTACTATGCGCACCGCCTTCTGCTGGCTAAGTCCACTAAAGAAAACAATTGGACAATTCAGGCAAAAATACACTAAGTAACATTTAGGCCCCAAAGGTGTAAGTCCTATTGTTTCCCCTTCCCGATCCACCGAATGAAACACGCCTGAATTAAAATTCCAAAAACATTCCATGGTCCATGTGTTGCATGTGTCCGTCGCTCGCTGCCTTCTGTGCCTGGCAGAGCAAGGCATGTGTCAGGAGTTTAGAGTACACCGTTCATTGTGTCTTAGCCATTGGAGTAGTAATTCAGGCCTACCCTTGCCTCACTGATTTGCTAATCCATCACACAAAAATATGCAGAACATACAGTCAACTGCAGATGCATTTACAAACATAGTGCAAAATTGCCCCAACCTCTTGGTGGAACAAGAAAAAGTATAAATCTATCATATAATAAATATGTCCCCTGTTTGTGGTTATTTTTATTTCACTGGGTGTCCAATGATGTCTCTTGTATGCCCACCATTGGCAGGACATCTCTCTGCAGCTCAGGAAACTCATGTTGTGAGTGTCTAGTATGAGAACAGGATCCATGGTACACTAATCCGTGTGTAAGGCAGTGATAGGAAGGGGTCTGTGCCTGCAGAGTGGGATGTGGGGGAAATCTCCACACAGGAGAGATTTCCCCCAAACAAAGGAGAGATCCCTCCAAACAAAGAATATCCGGTTAATAAAAGCCACTCCTGTCAAAGTGGGTCTCACTGATTCTTGCTCTTTGTGGAAGATGGCGGAGACAAGGGCTTTTGAACAGGATGTGCTGGCAGATGGGAAAATGCAGCTGAAACACTGCAAAGCGTAGGTGTCCCAGTGATAGAATGATTGGGACCTAGAGAAGGCCTCTGTGCGAAGGTTCCCCCAAACCAGGGAAATATTTCAAAAAGCTAATCCCGAGCTTACCTAGGCCTACAGAATGCCAAAGATACAGGGATATTAGATATGGACGATATAGGTGGTTGCTAAGCTAAGAGTTATTTTCTAAGTAATAGAAATCATTAGTGTTTCAAAAAAATGTAATGACCTTCTTTTTTTCACCCTTCCACTTAAGCTTTTCCCACTAGCCCTTTCCTAGGCCAAATTTAAATTATATGCTTCTGAATGACTGTCATTTTATCTGTGCATTGGTGCTAATACCTCTTTCAGGGTACCACCTGGGCTCTGCACAATAATGACTTACTATGTAAAGGTGTCTATACTTCCTCAGGGTTTGAGAGAACAAGTATTCAGTTGGCCTGCACGTATTTATTTCTCATATGTCCCATGTGTCAAACCATCATCAGACAGATTCGCAGGAACACGGAGACAGTCACAACTTGAAGTTTAAGAGGAGATGCAATTTGAATGCAAACCCAATGAACGCACATAATGAAGTGACTCAAAACACTTCTAGCTAGGTCCTCAAAGATAAGATGGATCCTCAAAAAACACGAAGGGTGCTTTCTAAGACCTTTGGCATCCACAAGCATACAAACATACAAATACACTTTGCAGATGGATTCTCCTTTACAAGAGACAGCCTAACTAAGTGGGTAAGCATAGCTTTGAGTCCACCCAGCCTCCATACAGAGCTCAGCCCCTCTGCTTGCCAGTTGTATGATCCTGGGCAGGAACTTTCACCTCTCGGTGCTTCAGTCTGCAAAATGGGGGTAATGGTATTACCCACCCCATAAGGTGTGGTGCAACGCATGTGAAACGATGCATGCCAAACACTCACAACTTTGCTTGGCACATGCTAAACATTCAGTAAACATTAGCTATCAATAATAAGGACAATAAAATAATGAATCAACTAGATATTAATAAAAACAATAAAATATTTTAAAAACTGTTCTCCCCTTAAGAATTTTAACAACTGCAGAAAGAATGTCAAAACTCAGTATTTCTAAAACTATTAAATTCTTCCACTAAAATAAATTCTACAGCCCTTATAGCACATCTGTAAGCTACACTGGAAATGATCATGAGTTATGATGCAGGGGACTAGCTAATCCAGACAGCTGGTGCCACCCCCTGCCAGACCCCCCATGAATATAATGCAGCACAGAATTAGACCCTTGTTCCCCGGCAAATGTGAGCTCAGTGGTCACACTGCTTGCACTATGAGTTACTTCACAAATGCATGCGCACAGCTCCTGGCTTTCTTCAGTGTCTCATCTGTCTTCTGAGTCCTATGTATCCTCTGTCTTGCTCACAGCTCAGGGTAACCACCATTTGAACTTGATGCTGAAGTGTTTTCTCCCCCTTAATGAACAGTTTTTGCCCTGCTGGAGTTCTTACTAAGAGAGTTTCAAACTGTTTTTCTTGTTTCTATGTGGCAAGTGTGACAGAGCCTTTGACATCACAAGCTGAGCCACAGTCAAATGTGAGATGATACTCTTTATCTTGAACTCTTCTCTTGGCTAGGAGCCACTCCTCCAATTCTGCTAAAAGTTGACTTTCTTTGAGGGACCACTGTTCTTAAACAAATAACAACTCATCACTTCAGACGGCCCAATAGTGAGACTGTCATAGCCCTGGACTATGGCCCATCCTTTGCTCCCTCTCTCACTCAGTGGCCCATTCCCTCAACTGGCCTTGCAGCCTGTGCGAAGTAGCCTCATGCCTCAGGAAAATTACATATCACCATATGCCGCGGCCCCTGGAAACACTTGAAATAATAAATTTTAGGCCCATCACTGCTAAAGATCTACTACATACATGGGTAAACTTCTCTACATTTTCCCCACAGTTGAGTGTCATAGCAAGACTTGTTGGTGGGGCGTGGGAACCCTGAAAGGGTTGAAACAGGAAAACTACAAAACAAAAAGGCACAAAATAAACACCAATGATCACTGCCACTAAGACCTCATAGTTAATGCATCTCGGTTTATATTATTCCTGGCTCTACTCCTGTTTCTATACCTGGGACGTTGGGAAGTCATGGCAGGTCTGTCCTACAGGGAACTGATGCGAGGACCAGTGTGTGGATCTGAGCCCTAGCAAAGTTAGCCCGAGTAGCCAGTCAGAGGAATGCTGCCTCTGAGCATTCACACCAAGGAATGTCCTAGAGAGCACTGCCTACTCCATTACCTCTTCTACAAAATGATTGTATATTTGCCACACTTGCACTCTGTGCACTGGGTTGCTAGAAATACAGTAGGTTGCACTGATGATTTCTGTTTTCTATAAAGGGCTACATGATCTCGTACAAAGTTTTGCAAAGTTATATGCAAATCACAGAGCCCCGGCCCTTTTCTTAACAGGATGGCAACCTTGCTCCTCGGTGGCACCTGGGACCTGGAGATCCTTTCTCCACTTACGTTTAACGCGCAGCCTGGGACTTGTCCCTGCAGCTCTCCGGGTTAGCCGTGCCGCTGTTGAGACCTCCCACCTGGACTCCCATCACCCACCTCTCTTGAGACTGCTCTGGCAGGGCTGGTGTGGGGTGCAGCCTTTGCTCACAGAGCAACATGTTTCAAGCAAAATCTGCCCACCCAGGCCATGGGCTCACCCCTCAGGGCTCCCTGCTTCTCTGTTGGGTTCAACTCGAGGTTTCCAGGCTTCTTTTCAAAGTCTAAAGTCATGGAATAGTAGGGAACCGTGAGAGGCCTTGTGACCCAAGGTACTCCCCCCAGCTCCCAGGCCGAACACTAGGTACCCCGGGCCCTCCCTGCCCTAGAGGTCTACAGCGTAATTGGGCAGGTTCGTTAGAGGGAGACATTTGTCTCTGGAGTTTTCTCCTGGGTGAATGTTCTATTATCAGTCGCCCTCCATCTGGAAAGTCCCGTTGTTCGGGTCTAGCCTGCCTGGCCCACATCCTGAGAAAGAGGGAGGAGGAGGAACAGATGGTTTATGGCAGAGAAGAAGAGGGTTAACTCTGGCTGTTCCCAAACATTGGCCACAAACACTTCCCCGAAGAAAGTTCTATCTGCTTCAGCCTACCCAGAGTTTGTCAACATTTTCTAGTTTCCTTCCTAACCTCGCTCATTCCTGAGGTCTCTGGTTCAAAGCCCACCCTCCCAGCCTTCCCTTGCTTCCAGATTATCCTGTTAGGGGGTGGATGGGAAGTAGGAGAAGAAATCAATGAAACACTCCGGCAATATGTTGGTCATTGAGACTAGCGGGTCTGTAGGTGGGCATTCATTTTACCATTCTCTCCACTTTTGTATATGCTTGCAATTTTTCATAATAAAAAGTTAAAGAATAAAAAAAGTCCTTCAGCTTCTGAGACACTTAAGAGAGGGCCCCAATCCCTAACACAGAGTTTTCCAGGAACCACACACAAAGGCAAGAGGCAAAGATGATTTCATTATATATATAAATATATGTATATTCATTTTCTAATTTTTTAAGTCCCACTGCTTTATTTTCAATAGACTAAACCTTATTTGTAAGAGATCCCAAAGTTGGGCTTACTTCCCCTAGCTGGGTTGTGGGGGAGGGCTGGGTAAAGGGTTCCTTAAACTCCTGAAAGTTTACACTTCTATGTATCTCACAGTCTTGTTGTGAGGATGGGACTTGTTCAGTGTTCTGAACTTTGAGGAGGAAACGCGCTTGCAATTCAAAGTGTCATTCTCTGGAATTGCACCTGGCTCAGGAAAGGACTGTCTTTGTACTTGAATTAAATCCAATGGAGAACCTTAACACGGGCATTTGCATGACTGAGAATTGCTGCTGTCTTTTTTCCGTATGTCACTTTCTTGAATGTGTTCTAATAAAATGATTCTAAAGCAGGCTGTTGATATACAGTGATTTATAAATACTTTCCATTGAGTGCCAAGGCCCTTAATTTTCTACCAAGAATCCACCCCATCCCATTTTCTAGAAAGATCTGTCTAGCTGGGGACAGATGCCATCGAGCATCCATCTGGCATGGTGGCACCACTGCAATTACAATCACTAATAAGAATTATGTCAACCACAGTAATTTTGTCTTCCGGTCGCCTAGCAGCAGAACTTATTTTCCAGAATAAAGATGGCCATATATAGTAGATGACTGTGGTGAAGAGCAGAGGGAGTGGGGGAGGCAGGGCAGGAGCAGGAGTATAAATCAATCTGCCAGGGAACAGGGGAGGGAGCAATGTGGATGGGGAGACAAAGGCACCCAAGTTCAAGTTCTGTCTGTTCAGTGATACATCTCAGCAAGTTAACATGGTAATTAATGGTTACATTTTATTTACAGAATTGCACCATAGCAAGTTGAGTTACAAATCTCATTAAGCAAACTGGAAGCAAAAGGAGAAAATATGTATTTCCAAATGTAGTTATTTTGAGAAGCACTTTTTATCCCAGTCTTTATCCCCCTTCAGCCAGACAGGTGAGGGCACCGCCATGGGCTAGTAACAGACTTAGGCCAGTTCTTTGGGGAAGAAGGCATTGTTGGAGGCAAATCTTACAAAGAGAGGGGCAGGGAAGGCAGAACCAGACAAGGAGGCTTCCATTCACTGATCACCTTTCTCAGACCAGAGGCTGGGGAAGCACTTGGTATATGCTATCTTCTCTAATCTTCACAACCATCCTGAGAGGCAGGCAGCACTGTCTTCATTGGCCAGATGAAGAGCCTGAAGCTAAGGGAAGTAAATAACTTGGACCGACTCAAAAAGCTAGAAAATAGCAGATTTGTGATTCAGATGCAGTCCCTAACCCCAAACCCATGCTTTCTTAAACCACAGAGTGGATGGCTCACTGCCCAGACTGGGCTCTCCATTGCACACTGCCATGGTCCTCACTTTAGTAAGCTATGCACCCTCTCTATGCCCAGGGGGTTGGGAGGGAGGTAAGGCCAGCTCAGGCTCTTCTTTGTGCGGTTGGAGATCCCTTCTGGGCCAGGGTCTTTGCAACCCACATCCATGTCCCTGGGACTTCACTGTGTAGAGCACAGGCTAATGAGGCTGAGATCACCATTTGGTGTTCACAGGGATGTGCTCACTCATCAAATATTTGAATGCCTACAGTGCTAAGCATTATGAATTGGGGGGGAGGGGAAATATGTAAAGACTCGGCCCCTGTTTTCATGGAGCTTACCAGCAGAAGGACAGACATTAATCAGGTAACACATGAGTGGATATGTAATTACAACTGGAAGGGAACTTGGAGATCATTGAGATCAACAGATGAAACGGGACCCAGAAATGCTAAGCAGTTTGCCCAAGCCCATAAAGCAAGCTAGGGCCAGGATGCGGACTTGAACCCAGAACTCATGATTTGCATTCACAGACAACTTTTCTCCTCACCATGTCACACTCTAGTCTGTTGCCTACCCCTAGACTGGCCCCTAACCCCAGCCAGCCATATAAACATGTTGATCAATCGGTACACTATCCCCATACCTAAGAAAAACCACATAGCTTGTTTTGTAGTGATAAACAGTATGGTGAACAAAACCCCTGAGGATGGCATTTGCCAAGCCTTGTTTGGTGTTCCAGAGCTCAAAGTAGGAACCGAGAGGCAAGGCTCCCGTGCTGAGAAGGATGCTTGCGGCGTTTTGGTCTGACACCAATGTTTTCTCATCTCCCAGGTTCAGCCATCATTTATTCACTCATTAATTCAACAAATATATATTGCGGGCTCACAAGGTGCCAGGCACAGTTCTCAGGGCTAGGGACAGCACATGGGGGGACAGAGTGTGACATGGGAGAACAAAAAGGACTGCCCTTTGTGCAGCGTGCATGCCACCTGAGGGAGACAGACAATAAACAAGTAAATAACACGTCATCGTAGAAGGTGATAAATGCTGCAAAGAAAAATAAATCAAGAAAGGGAGGTAGGGAGTGCCCAGAGGTGGGGAGCATGTGGTTGGGAAAAAGGTCTCCCTGAGAAAATGATGTTCCAGGTCATTGCTTTAAACACACACATAGTCACATGTGCAGTGCGGTTTGAAAAGTCACATAAGCCTTCCTCTGCCTCCTTCAGAAAGATAAAGGCCCCTCAGTAACACATCCCAGAGACCAATTCCAAGCCTTTCCTTTTTTTCTCTGAGCTAAAACAATGGTTGTCACACTTGTATACACATAGGGATCAACCAGAGGACCTGTTAAAACACAGATTGCTAGGCTGCACTACTAGTATGTGGTTTAGTAGGTCTGGGGCGGATCCATGATTTTGCACTTAAATTCCTAGGTGATGCTGGGGCCACTTTTCCAGGGACCACACTCTCAGAGCCACCAGGATAAGCCATGATAGCTGTTAGATCCCTGTAAAAATCAAACTGTTATCTGAGAAAGGGCACATCCATTCGTTAGGATCTATGGATCTTATCAAAGGACCTATCCCAACAGCAGGCTGCTTAAGAAATGTGACTCTTTTTCTAGCTGGGGTAAGTTTCAGAAGCCACAGCCCAAGACCCCCCACTCCCCCCCAAGCACTGATGAGTCAGGGCAAAGAACGGATCCTGAAAAGGTGGTGACAACAATATTTCATTGATAATCTATCAGTGCTCTGCATTTTCCTAGCATTTAATACTTTTACAAGTCCTCTACTCTCTTTTTACACAGTTAACCTGTTAGGTAGGCAAAACAGGTGGCATTATTACATTTTATAGATAAGAAAATTGAAACAAAGCCATTATATGACCTCCCTTGGGCATCAAGGATGAGAACCTCAGGTGCCTTACACTTAAAGACTGTGTTCTTTCTTCTTCAACACTTTTCATAACGCTCGCTCTATCTTTCTCCTGGGGCTTCTGTCCCTGAGTCTTTAAAATCCAGGATGTGTAGTCACTCTTTGCCTATTGCTCTGTTCAAAATCCCACTCGTTGCAATAGCCTATTCATGTGGTTGATTAACTGTGGCAAATACTAGGCCCTGCATGAGTTCTCTCTGCCATAAACACATTTCTACCCTTCTACTGCTCATTTTAGCATTAGCCTAAGCTAGAATTAATCGTCATGAAAGCAAACCTGCTGGGGGAAAGCGTACCTAATACTTTCCAAAGACAAATAGAAATGGCATTTGGATTATATGTACCATTGCTTCCATCCCAGTAATAGAGATCATTGAAAGTTTTCTCTTTCACTCCAACTCACAGCTAAATGAAAGTGGATTTTACTAAATGTGATGGCTGGGGTATTACATTTTCAGATATTTAAAAAGACCAAAAAAATCATGGACATGAAAAATATCCTCCAGCACTTGCCCATCTGGTTATTTTCTCCAGTTCTGCCCTGATTCCTCAGGTCTCCCATTGAATCTCACAGTGACCCGTGGGTTACAATGAGCTGTCTCTCTTCAGCCTCCATTCTGTTTTTGACCATCCAGGAGCTTAAGGTTGTAGAAATTTGATTTCTGAAACTGCCCTCATTGTTCTCTCAACCCACTGACACTTTCACACCTTCCTCTGGTACTGCCATTGGGATGACTCATTGATTCAGTAAAGCGTTTATTAAGCACTGAATGTGCACCAAACCCTGTAAGAGCCACTAAACAGGCTCCAGAAATGAGTTAGATATAATCCTGTCCTCATAGAACATAGTAGATTCACTCTCTAAATTATGTACAAATATCAACATTCACATATATTCTAGATGTAGATTATAAACCCATGTGAGCTTCTTCCCATTTTTATTCTCTATACTCACCTTGTGCTCAAATAAAGCTAATTGATGACTTATGTGAGATTCACCATGAAGGAAAGGAAATATAACTAGGAAGAAAAGAGTGGAGTGAGGCAGAAGCTCTACTCTGTAGTTCTGAGCACACACGGAGATCTGGACCAGCAGCCCAAGGCCTGGTAACCATGGGGCAGTGGAATCTCAAATCTGCTGTAGATACTGCACGTGTGCATTATAACAAATTAAAATGTAAGAGTCTTAAAGTTTGGGTGATCAGAAGTTCCATATTGATGAAAGACCCAGTGTGAATGTGTTATTGCTGAGTTTTAGAGCCTACAGTATGCTGTAAAAAAAATGATGCTGTATTCCCTAAAACCAAATAGTTCATGTTCGCTGCAACACAGGAACTGAGCATGTAGGAAAATAGGTTTGATTGGGGGAGGTGGGTGGGATATAGAGGGTTCAATTAGTTGGGTTGGTATAAGAGAATCTGTAAGAAGAGATGCAGACAATAATCCAACATTGCGTGCATGCACCAGTATGTGAGCCCTTTAAATTCATAATCCTGAAAGGAAGGCAAGCTTAGAAAACCAAAAACACAGTCAGAAAATAAGGATGAGCATGTAGTTCTGGTGACCAAGCAGCCAAAGAAATACCCTTGACCCACCTGCCTCCCGGGAATGTGCGTCAGTGGTCGCTGCCTCAGCACCTGCAAGGGGCTGCTCAGGCTCAGGCTCTGACTCCCCTCTGCTTTAGGTTGGGCTTTGTGAATAGTGGAATCCCAAGACAGGGACTCAGGGCAGATATGAAGCCAAATCTCATGTGTGTCCTTTGCATCCTATTTCTCACACCTCTGCAACCCAGAGAGGATTTTCACAGCACAGATGCAGTATCCAGGCTTACCAATGACCATCAAGGGTGCTAGTGGCATGATAATGCAGCCAGACCTAAAATGGGTATATGGACATGGATAGTGGGAGTGACAGGGAGAATTTAGAGGGTTTAAAAATAGCAGAGATGGGAAGAGAGTCTCTGTATCTGCTTTTGAGTTTGGGGGATGGTAGAAGAAGGATCGTTATTTTATTTGTAAGGGTGTCCATGGACTGTGGTGCTTGCTGATGGTAATCTTTTAATGAGCCTTAGCCCCAAGCTTAGTGTGGAGTTTTTAGATGTGGCAGTGCTAAA